ATGCGTCTCCACATAACTTGATTCTCATTGGATTTTGAACAAAATCGCCTCAGTGGTTGTTGAGTTTTTTAAATAAAACTTTCGAATTTTCCAATTACAAAAAAGGGAAAGTTGAAAAATTTTAGAGTAGGTTAACTTTGAAGTTACAAAATTTTGAAGTGGGTGAACTTTGAAGTTGCAAATTTTTAAGTGGATTAGCTTCGAAGTTGGGAGAATTTTGAAGCGGGTCAAGTAAAAAGTGGGTTTAACTCAAACTTGATTGAAGTTTGAGTTAAATTAAATTACAAATGCGTTCTTTGCGAAATCATCCTGTGGGTAATGCCACAATGGATGCAACGCTAAACGCATGCAAAGCATGGAATAATTATCCGTTTTCCGAATAATTCTGACAATGACTAGCGTTGCGTATAGCGTGCGCCGCATTCACTGTGGCATGACCCCAGCGTCAACAAAAACAAATGGTCGGGAAGTTATTGGTTCGACCCGTAATGGGTCACACCCAATTCCACCAACTCCTACCGGTCATACCCCAAAGAGTGAGCGCGCGAAGCGCACGACCGGGCCTGATTTTCTTTTTTATGAAGTGTTCTCTCAAATGCCGAGCTCGTGCCCTATCGCCTGCATTGCCTATCACAAGTTCCAATAAATTCAATCTCATCACCGATTATTTTCAACCAACCGTGGTCTCGCATCCCTCGTTAAATTAATTAGGATTTTATTCGTTATTTTGTATTTTATCTAGGATACTAATCCGTTTTTAATCCTGATTTAATTGACCCTTGACTAGTATTAGTATTATTTATTTTTATTTCCGTTTTTTAAAACCATTCTGGACCTCTACCTGTGATTATCATTTTCTATTTGAATCCTTGTTTGCCTACTATTTTTACTATGATGACTTTCTGGCTGGCTTTTCGTTGATTGGATAATTTTAGTTAACTTATCTCTGTTTTCTACGCTTGAACAATAGCGGACCGTTCCCCCCTCCTTTCTGTCCACTCCTTTACCGAATTGTTCTGTATTTTTATAAGTTATCTTTCGCATGTTACTCTCACAACTTTTTAATATTTATATTTATATGCTGTATCAAGGTTGTACCTATTCAAACGGCAATAAACGAAATTGATTGATTAATGATCTGATGGGCGCGAAGTTACAAGACCAGTCACGAGAGTCATATGGGCTAAATAAATATATACGGCTTTTGAAGACATGAACCCAAAATAGAACATTAAAATGAAACATTTTTATTATTAGTCCATAGCTATACTTTCCCACATGCACACGGATGGCGTGGGTGCAATACTTTTTCAATTATAATTTTTTTGTTTTTACCTCTTTCCCTATTATTCATGGTCTAGTATTCCATATAATTTGTTATCATTTTAAGTCCCAAGGTGAATGCAGCATGAAAATTTTGCCACCAAATTTTTCATTGTTTAAGATCTCCGGACCTAAAATTAAGGATTGAGTGGTTGCAGAGGCCGAATCAGAGAGTCGAGAAGTCATAAGGGTTATCAAAGGTCATAATGTGCCACACTCCTATTAGGGTCAAACATTAACTCGGCGAGGTATGATCCTGTTGGTATTTGACCCTCGCGAGGCATCAATCTTTGAAAAGTATGACGCAAGGTATCGCCTTCGGGATGTTTACCCCCTGCAACGTATAGCCCTCAATTCAGTCACGAGGGTTAGTGTACTAATAATCGGGTTAAGAGTTTTCTACCAGTTATTTACCTTTTTACCATTTAGAAGTAAATTGCCAGTATTCTAGTCTGTACCGGAGAAAATTCCGATTTTCAGTAGACGAGCCAACACAGTTCCTGGAAAGGGCCTGAGTATAGCATAAACTATAGAGATCTTGTGGTATTTTCTCTCCATGCGGTTGGACCCAACTCTACGGGGTATTCTATTCGACGCTAAGAAAAAATGTCAAATGAAAAATTGTCAAGCGGGAACGCAAAGGTGGCGCCATCTGGCGGCGGCGTATTGAAATGATTTGATAGGGTAAAAGACGGTTTTTTGATTGAAATTAAATAAACGGAATGGGAGAATAATTTTCCGGCGGAAAGATTAAAATCATTATGTATGAGTAGAGGACGTGCTTAAGGATGTTCCGGGTGCCCGCTGCTACCCCAGAACTCAGATTATAATCTTCCTCGGGGGAAAAGCATGTTCCTGGAGCCGCGGGTGCACTCCTGTCGGAATCGACATGGTGCCGATGACCACGGGATATTTAGATCACACACCAAGCTATTCCTGGACATTTTGTGAATAATACCTCGAGGAAAAAACACGCTCGGAGAAATTCTGGGGCATGTATTTTCAAATGCATGGGGTCCTGATACCCCTGGTGTCTGTAACATCTCATTGTTATGCTTGGAAATTTTTTTAATAAGTCCTCGGCAAATAAGCCCATTTTTGGAACCGATGGAGAATTCTTTATCGAATACACGTGGTCGCGATGATCACTGGTCATTCAATCGACGCTCCATGTCGATTTTATTAATTGTTTGAACAAGTTTCGATGAATGGACGTGTTTATAGGACCATCGAATAATGCTACATCCAATCCATGTGGTCACGATGACCACTGGTCATTTAATTCACGCACCGAGTCGGTTTTATTATTTTTTGGAACAATTCTTCGGGGAATGAGTGGGTTTTTGAGGCCGCCGAAATATACTTTATCGAATCCACGCGGTCACGATAACCACTGGGCATTCAATTCACGCATCGAGTCGGTTTTATTAATTTCTTGAGCAATTCCTCAGGGAATGAGTGGGTTCTTGCGACCACCGGATAAAACTTGATTGAGTCCACGTGGTCACGATGACCATTGGTCATTTAATTCCCACACCGAGTTGGTTTTTCTATATTTTGAACAATTCCTCTGAAAACGAATGAGTTTTCGAGATCGCCGAAGAATACGTCATCGAATCTACGCGATCACGATGACAATTGGGCATTTAATTCACGCACCGAATTGGTTTTATGATTTTTCTGAGCACCGCTGCATAATACTTCATCGAATTCATGTGCCACGATAACCAGTGATTAAAAAATTATTGAAAATGAGTCGGTGGGAGTTGAATGGTTAGTAGCCATCGTGATCGCGTGAATTCAATAAAGAATTCTCCAGCGATCTCAGAAACACACTCAGTCTCCGAGAGATTACTAAAAAATTAATAGAAAACGATTAATAGAAGCGAATGGTCATCGTGATCTTGAAGAATCAAGAAAGAATTCTTCTAGAGTCCCAAAAAGGTGCTCACTCCCAGAAAAATTATTGAAGAATTGAATAAAAAAATTTGATGCGTGATTTAAATGACCAGCGGTCAACGTGCCATTGTGGATTCGATAACAAATTCTCACGCTATCTCAAAAAGATCCTTATTTATCGAGAAGTATTTTGAAAAAATAATGAAAACGACTTGATGCGTACATTAATCCACCATCTTTTCACCATTTTGTAGTAGTATGCGTGCGCTACTGTGTTTTTCTTATGGCGCAATAACATACTGGCGGAACCCTCAATTTGCCGACAAGCAGTTGAATGATTGGTGGTGTACGTGATCATATGGACTTGAAAAAAAGTACAAATCATGTAAAAATTCGATAAAAATGACTTGGTGTGTGGATAGAATGACCAGTGGTTATCGTGACCATTAGACTGACCCATTTAACGGACATTTTTGAAATCTACCTTTCCTGCATGTAAATCTGAAAGTTCATTTAATGAAAAAACTGTGATTTTTTTCTGATTTATTAAAGTTTTACAAAATTAAAGTTTTACAAAATTTTTGCCCTACTGGCAGTTTACAGCCGTTATAGTGGATGAGAGGCCAAATGGCTTTACGATGGTCTCATGTCAGGTAGAGCAATTGTCAGGCTGCTACAGTGCACATTTTCCAGGTAGTACAATATAAGTCTACCTTCGTACATCCGTTTACCTAATTACCCTGTTTTTGTCACCGTGGATACTATTTTCTGAAATGCAGATCCCTCACGCCGAATTTCTATAATCTTTTCATATTTTAACTTTTGAATTTATTCTATAAATTGATAAATACTGAGATAAACAAAAAAATATAGAATGAAAAAATTCCCCTCACAATCACCTAATTCCTATTATTTCAATTCTTGGTACAATTTTTTCCTTCCGTTGAATATGAGAAACGTAACAATTCCCAAAATAATACATACAAGTTAGTTACAATCAATCATCAAGACAGTACAAATTTTGTTTCATTTTCTGTGCCCAATCTTGATTGCTATTCGTAGTAATACAAATAAAATATCCTCAAAAATATTCAGTCTTGCCTCAAAAATTCTCGCATTTGACACAATCTGCAAAAGAAGGTTTATCCCGAAAATTTTTTCTTTTGAAAAATAAATTTTTCTCTCAGTGAATATTGAAATTTCAATACAGCAGAGTAGAGATAAGACATTGTATTTGCTGAGACGTTTGCTGATTAAATAATAACATGAAGTTAGAGAAAAAGAAATTATACAAAAGGAATGACAGACGAAAATGTGTGTGTCAACACTTTGCATCGTTTCGAATGCAAAATATTCCTATAAGTAATCTTTAGAAAATTCATTGAAATCGTTCTTCATTCTGTCGCATGAAAAATTCTCGGAATTATTGCATCCATTTAGCATCGCATATCCCATCCATTTAGTATTTAGTATCGCATATTACCTGACGATATTCAAATTTCTGGCAAGCTCGTTGAAATTTATGATGCGAAATTGCGAATTTTCTGGGTAGGGCTGCCACGGATTCTGTCCTCAATGGGAAATGAATTGCCCCTCAACAATTTTCTTATCTTGACTTTTAGAAAGATGATGGGACTGACCTTTAGATCAGTTGATGGAAGCCTCTCCAACAGGTCACATGGAAGCAATCGCTAAGTAAAAATTTTCTATTCAGTGTGTGGAAAACATAGTGTACAAATACCAGAAACGCGTCAAGTCACAGAGCTTGTTTTAGTAGGGAATGCAACCCCGGAGATTTGTGGAAATCAATTGCCCTCGAACAGACAGGCTCTACAATGTTATTTTTATTATACAAGACATGCAACACCAAAACTGGTGGGTCGCAAAGCTGCTACGTGCGTTGGGCGAAAGTGTGCGTTGTTCTGAGAATATGCCGGAATCCCAATTGTGAAAGAGTGTAATGCAATGGGTAAAATGGAAAAATTAGTGCATTCATACAAATATATTCTCAAGTACAGCAACACCCGGAAAGAAAATTACACAACAGCGCAAGTGAAAGAAATCGATTTTACATGTATGTTGGATGACTTATTCGACATAGCCCATCAAACGAAAGCCGCAAGGACGTTATTACGTCTGCATCATGAACGTGGGATAAATGGTCTTCTGGACACAATTATCGATACAGGAACATGGGGTTTCCATAGTATCAAAGTTGAAATAGAAGAAGAAATAGCCGAGGAAGTAGAGCAAAGTAAGTGAAATTTCTATTTAATTATTGTATTCTTCTAAATCACAATGCGTCGAAGTGGAGGGTCCCGGAAAGAAGCGTTTAAAATCCTGTTTCTTAATATGAACGGCTGGCCCCAATTTCTCTAAATTTATTAAACATTGTACATATAATGCGAGCCGCGCGCGCTAGCCAGGCTGCAAGAGATTGATTATTTCATCAATTGATCGATAATTTGCAATTCTAAAATTCGTGAAGTTCAATTTTTAGGTAAAACATACAAAATAATTGATTTCCTAAAAATGAAATCCATGTATACAATAACAATGGAAAAAAATTATAAAGTTGTTATTTAGACAAGTGGTTGAATGGCGCATTGATATGTTCAACATTTTTCCTACATTATCTATCAGGTATAATGTAGGAAAATTTCTAAAATTATCCGTGACATATTTAACCGCGTGTATAAGGAGTAACTTTACAATTTTTTTCCATTGTTACCGTGTACATGAGGTTCTTGCCATTTTACACAAGGATTTGAAATTGATTGAACATTGTGTTGACCAATTTTCATTCGATTCTCTGTTTTTTTTATTCCCCGTGGCTCGCCATAATATCCTCAAACAATTCATCTGTTGATTTCAAGCTCATTCCATGAGTTTTTCAAACGACAGAAAATTTTCATTAAATATTGATGGAAATGACAACAATCAAGTATTGAAACGCTGAAGAAATTGCAAATTATCACATAATCACCCAAAATAATTGATCAAGTGGATGTAGTGAAAAAAATCACACGTCATTTTTAAGGTCTTCATGAGATCTTCAAATTGGCGTATAATACATACTCATTGGTCAAATACAAAGATCCAATAATGGATGAAAAAACCGAATTTCAACCTGTGGCATGACGTTCAAAAGAGAAACAACTTCATGAAAAATGAACCAAATCGCATTCAATACATAACAATCTGAAGAACGAATAATCCCCTTCATGATGGTATATCAATATTTTAATGGATTTGACGCGAAAGAATAAGAAAATCCAACCAAACTTGATTTTCAAGTAAAGCACGAAATAGTATACTTCGATACAAGTGCGACGGGGTGGCAACGAGTGTGAAGTTGGCGGCCCGAGGCGAAGCCGAGGGCTGCCAATCACACGAGTTAAAACACCCCGTCGTACGTGTATCCGAACTATATTTTTTGTTAGTGATGTTACGTTCAGCGAGTGCAGAACTGTGCCATTTTTCGACACGGGCTGAACGTAGCAGCAGTGACAAAATAGTATATTTCGTAACGAGTGCAAAAAGTGTTTTTTGGCGAGTGGGAGGTTTATATTACGAGCCTTCGGCCCACGAGCTAAAAAACATTTTTTCACGAGTTACGAACAATATTTTTCATCACAATGTGGCGGAAATTGGACTTTTCGTCACAGCGTGATGAAAAAAACATTTTTGCGTCAAAGTGCAATACTTGAAAAAAATGATCAGAATAGAATCATTCACGTGTCGATTTGAAGCTTATTGAATAGACTTTCGAATGAATGTAAAAGGTATAAGGTTTATCGAATATGGATTTTCTAGAGGGAATTGACCGTGACAGCACGGAGGGGAAGGGAAGGTGGTGAAAACGAAAATTCTAATGAAATTTTCATCTCCGATGTTTTGTTTATTAAAAAATCGTAATCAATTGAACGCTTCCCTGCGATTCATAAATCATCTCCCTTTACTTTCTTCAAAGTACAGGGCTGAAGGAAACGAGATCGTATTTCTGGCCACGTTTTTTTTCCTTTTTCATTGATCTCCTCCTCAATTTTGCTCTCTAATTTTATTTCCAGATGAGCCAAACTCAATTGCTGCGAATTATGCTAACTATGTCTTTAATGACTACGAAGATCTTCAAGAAGTATTGAAGCATTTTAACGATGATGAGGAATTAGACAGTGATTATGAAGTTCTATCAGCACCCCCAAAAACTAAAAAACGCATTCTCATAACTGCAGATCTCAGTGATCGTTCAGCGGCACGGGTAATAGCAGTCATACTGGAGACATTTAGCATAACTTTGAAAGAGGTTCATTTGAGCCGCGAAACTCTTTGGCTAAATCGACGAAAACAACGCGAGTTGTTGAGTCGGAACATAAGAAGTAATTTCTAAAAATCAATCGACTGAGATCCTCACTGTCCACTGGGATGGTATGCAACTATCGGCACCGGAAAACAAATTTCAGAAAGTCGATCGACTTCCGGTTCTTGTGTTCGGGCGAGACTGGAGCCAATTTCTTGAAGTTCCCAAGCTTGCGAAAGGATCCGGAGAACTTCAGGCAAAAGCTGTCTACGATTGCTTGACGAAATGGGATGCGGTTGACGACGTATGTGCCATGGTATTCGATATTACTGCGAGTAACACCGGCAGTGGGAGTGGTGCGTGCATTCTGCCCGAAAAATTACTCGGCAGAGATCTTCTATACTTGGCATGCCGTCATCACGTATTCGAGTTCCTCCTGAAAGCTCCATTCGAATCGTCCATGGGGTTTTCGTCTGGGCCCGACGTTTTGATTTTTAAACGATTTCAAGACAGCTGGAAGAACATAAATCAAGCAAAATTTCTACCTGGAGTGGCCGATGATGCAGTAAAAAAGGCATGAACTCTTTTCGTGCTCTGGGCCTCATTTATCACGGTAGATGGATGTCCAAGGCGATTTACTTCCTCAAAATTTTTTTTAGAAAAGGATTCCAATTAAAATTCCATGAAGAATCTGGTTTGAGAGATATCTGCATTTTTATCGTTCTGCTTTACCAAAGAGCTTGGTTCACAGCTTCCAATCTAATCACAGCCCCCAATAATGATTGGAATTTATTGAAAAATTTATCAGGCCACACTAGCATGGCTGGTCGTCTCCCTTCGAAAATGTGTAAAGCCGTATTCGATAAGTTCCTAAAGCACCTTTGGTACTTATCAGAAGACCTAATCGCCCTCGTTTTTTTTATGAAGATGTCAGTACTGATTGTAAGAGGAAAATATGTCAGGCAATAAAATCTCGTTTCCCTCTCAATTATAGTGAGAAGAAGAGGAAACTAGGAATCGAAGATCTTAATTCAATTCAAAAGTGGAGTTTGGAATCATTTGTCACTCAAAGTACTCTAAAATTTTTAAAGATCCTAAAAACAGATAGCAGTTTTCTTGATGTTGATCCAGCAATATGGCATGAGAGTTGGAAAATTGTTGGAAATTTGAATGTGACTAATCATATAGCTGAGAGGAGTGTGGCTCTCATTACTGAATTCAATGACTCACTCACTAAAGATGAACGAAGTAAGTAATGCGCAATGTTGAGTGTGAAGAAATTGCGAGAATTATCACCAAATTCTACGAAAGAAAATTTGAAGTTTTCAATAGTGTAACGTGACATTTTTGCATGGAGGTTAAAAATGCCTATTACCTTCGCCCTTCTTCCCCTGAATCTCAAAAATGCAAAAATCTATGGGCGCCAGGTAATTTTTAGCCGGAATTACCAAACCGGAGGAGTCCACAAAATCAGTTCTAACTAATTCGAAAACCTCTAAAACGTTCACAAAAAGGGAGAAAACTAGATTTTTGGGGAAAGGTACCAGTCCTCGGTTCGCTCGGTCTGCTAGGTTGTGGAGAGAGGGGTGGATTTCAGGTGGAAACGGGTTAATGGGGCGGTCAAAACTACCAAACAAAAAAAAGAAAGAGATCGACATTGTCCTTACTTGTTCCACTATTGAGATTTTTCAAAATAAAGAATTTACATACTCTTACATAATAGTCTTGCCAAAAAAGGAAGAATTCCAATAATAATCGGCCTTCTTCTAATAAACGCAAAATAATAGATTGACTCGAAATATTTGGTCCTGACAATATATTATCGATTAACTCGGCTACAAGGTGAGGTCATCAAATTCCTCAAACGGTAATATGAAAATATTCACTAATTTCGAAATACTCGAGAATTCCGAGAACTGGGGGAAAGATATGCGAATCCCCGTGAGAGTGAGAGAGAGAGAGAGAGGACATAAACCCAGCGGTATACGTACAACGTACGGCGGGAAACTAAAAAGTCGGCAGAACTAAACTCACCGTAGCGGAAATTCGGTAGAGTCCAATTCGAGAAACCCAGAGCCAAATTGCTCGGGAAGGTCTAGAGAAGCCCATGAAAGCAAAATCATAATTTTTGGATCATTTGGATCAAAAATATAACCGGGAGAAACCGGAAGTCGCGATCAGAACTCGGAACCGACCCGATTCAGGTGGAATAACTGATCAAAAATCGGAGAGATATACGAATAAAAATCCAGAATATCCGTTAAACCCCAAAAATGGTAAATTAAGGGGCCGAACGGGGGATTGTTCGGAGGTTAATCTACTGCACGTAGCTGCAGCCACGAGAGGGTATCCACCACGAGGGAGAAGAACCGACGCCATTATCAATGGCTCGGATAAAACTCAATTTCCACCGTAAAACTCACGGGGATAGGGACATTATACTCTAAGTCATTTTAATCCTGAACACTCTAATCCAAGGGCACGAATAATCCAAGGAATGACTACCACGAACTAAGCGGTAAGCCCTTGCGGGGGACTCACTTTAGCACGACTAATTACTAAGAAGGCCAACGTGGAACTAACTGCCCTGGGTCAGTGTCACGGGTACTAACTGCAGCGCGAATTCTGGCCAACAGAGGCGGGCTCTGATTGGCGGAGAGTTTGGCACAACAAGCGTGGGCTTCGATGGCGCTACCGAATGATTTCGGGGAATTCAAACGCGACAAAATACTCAATTCTAATTATTTTCTACGTAACTTTATAAAATGATGAGTAATCTGGGCCGAACTGGTAGACGTTCGGAAAATTACCGAGGATTTTTGGCGCCTCCTACGGGTCGGTTCTCCTGGATTCACGGGGTTGAAAGACCAATACTTCTGACTAAATTCTCCACATTTTTCAAAATTCTAAGGCAACCTGGCAATTCATGGGATACAAAGATTGCACTTGTTCCA